AGCAGGAGGAGGAGGGGCAGAAGTTGTTGGAGTAGGAGGAGGAGGAGGAGGGGTTGGGTAGGGAGGAGGAGGAGGAGGAGGAGGTGTTGGGTAGGAACCTCTCCGCTCCTCCTGCCCCTCCTCCTCCTCCTCCCTACTCCAACACCTTCTCCTCCTCCTCCTCCTCCTCCTCCTCCTCCCCTCCTCCTCCTCCTCCCTACTCAAACACCTCCTCCTCCTCTCCCCCACTCAACAACCTTCCCTCCTCCTCTTCCTCCTCCTCCCCTCCTCCCCTCCTCCTCCTCCTCCTCCTCCTCCCTACTCAAACACCTCCTCCTCCTCCCTACTCAAACACCTTCTCCTCTTTCTCCTCCTCCTCCCTCCTCCTCCTCCTCCTCCTCCTCCTCCTCCTCCCTACTCCAACACCTTCTCCTCCTCCTCCTCCTCCTCCTCCTCTCCTCCTCCTCCTCCTCACATTATTATTAACATTATCAGGAGTAGAGTTTATGAGCGTCCAGTTTCGGGCGAGCGTCCAAATACGCCGGTGTACCGGCGTATTTGGACGCTCGTAAAGACTACTGCGCATATTGCGCATATTGCGCATAGACTACTGTGCATATTGCGCATGCGCTGTGTGCGCCCGTGCAAAACAAGAGGCGCCTGCGCGCATGCGCACTTAGGAGCGTCCAGTTTCGGGCGAGCGTCAAATACGCGGTACAGTACTACTACTAGTAGTAGTATTATTATTACTAATACTAATAGTAATACTACTACTAGTAATAATAGACTAGTAATACTAATTGTATTAGTATTACTATTAGAAATAGTAATTAGTAGTATTACTATTTACTAATTTAGTATTACTTACTGTAAACACTTTTAATTATTTCGTGGTGTGTTGGGCGAATCGTGTGTTTTGTCCATATAAAAATGATAAATTAATAATACCAGGCAAAGGACCATACGGCATACGTATGCCGCACAACTGTGTGCGTGCGTGCGTGTTTGTGTGTGTGTGGCGTGTTCGCGCACGCGTGTGTGTGCCCGCGCATGTGTGTATGCGTGCGTGCGTGTGTGTGTGCCCTGTGTGTACGCACGCGTGTGTGTGTAGCTATGCACTGTGACTGTGTAATTTCTCACTCTTTAGCAGGGCTATACAGCAATGTACGAAAGAATGCAGTGGGGAATGTAGAGGACCTGGTCAGTAACACAAAATATACGTACTACTTCAACTACTTCCATGATGCAAAAGTTCCCCAGTGTGTTCTTTTATGTTTTGCATTATAGCCCTATTGCAGAGTGAAGGGTTACCTAGGTACAGGACTACAGGTAGGACATGTCTATGCAATTATTGAAGGTACGATTTATAGTCTACCACTGACAATAAATGACTGGTTGATTCGAACCCTGGTAATTGTACAAAACATAAATGTAAATCAAAGCAGCTCTTACCAATGTGTGGCTTATTTTATGTGTACATCATAATAGCAACAATACTGCTAACAATACATAACAACAATGCCGGCGCATAATCAACCTACATATGAGTACTCGAACGTGTGCAACTTGAAATCCAAATAATACTAAGGGATACTGAATTTGCTTTTGTTACGTATGCCTATTTTAATGCTTATGATATCATGATCTAGAACGTATATGAAAGGTGGTTATTTTCTGGTTTTGTATATATACTTAATAATACCCAATGGTGCATTAAACATATTAAATTTTTGTTAATCATAACTTAGTTAAATTAGAGTGAAATAGTTGATAAAGAAAGAGGCAAAATGGTAAATCATGATCATAACATGTATGCCAACTACTTTTATGCCTGTTGTATTCTCCTGATATTATGGCTTATGTTGTACGACATTAGGCACTCACATAATATACAGAATTCATATTACCAGTGTAATGGAAGTTGGCACTGGCCAGAATTACCTGGCCATTTCCCAATTGTTCAATGTTCTGTTACAGAAACAGTTGGCCAGAATCAGAACTTATTGATGAAAAATTTGGGAGATTGTTTCTGTTTGCTAATCTATGGAGTTTGTTAAGATGTACTTTTAAAAGTAATCTATTTCAGTGTCATAGGAGTGCCATCAGTCTATTAGTTGCAATTATAGACCATCAAAGGTGTTTTTCCTAACATATGCACGTTTTACCAAAGAATTTGCATGTGAGCTAAGAGCCAGAGTAATGCAATTTATGCATTGGAAGCAGATGCCTGATTCAGACACAGTCTTATCAATGATCAAATTCTTGTGATTATACATTTGAGTTTTGTCTTGTTTGCCTGTATGACATATGCTAATGCTATTTCGTTCGGGTTGAGATACTGTTGTTTAGTGGTAAGTGTCACATGTATTAATAGCTCATGTTAAAATGTCAGATCCTATGCACTGCTGTAATTTATGTGTGTCCTATGGCCCTATGCACCAAGACAATAATAATATCTTCTATTTTCAGAATATTCATGGTTACCTGGACCTAGCAGAACATTAATCAAGCATGGAGATTCTGTGGTCTCCAAACCACGAGGACAAGTTCCTCACATTTAGTTCTGAGTTGAGCCTATATAAAGTGGAACCATGGAAAGAAGACACACAGCAGAGTAAGAGTCGCCTTCATAGACTGACACAAATTCAAATGTGTAGTTAACTCCATTCTGTGTAGTGTGTACTCCATTCAGCATGGCAAGCCAGCTACTGGGTCAAAGAAGAGACAGACCACATAAAAAGGGGGAAAATGAGACGTATCAGAATTGTATTATGACAATAATCTTGGAGGCCAGACAAAAATTCTTTTGGATATTTGATTGCACGAGGAGAATGAATTAATTTTGAGTTTAAAGCTAAGAGAGAATTTATTTTAACCTTCAGCTCAAAGGTTATCACCAAACACTGCTGCTACTCTATTAGCGGTGAACTCAGATCAACAATATTTAAAAGTAAGTAGAATTTATGCCTTGGGTATTTTTTCTATATAGTTAAAAAGATAATTTGCACTCACATTTATTTATTGTATCGCTTCATAAGAGTGTGATTCAATCCCCTAGACAATATATCATGAGATATATTCTACAAAATGTCTAGTGTATTCATGGTATTGTTGCATGTGTTTCACCTCCTGGACTTTATATAGGATGCCATGAAAACCTTTACGTTGACATGTGTTTTTTTGGCTAAAAAAAGGATGTCTAATTTTCACAGTGTGTGGCTTGGTACCCTCAGTCAGAGCCAGATCATTTAATCGCAGTTGGACAAGCTAATGGCCGGGTGGTCCTCACAAGGTTTGTGTCAATTTCTGAGGAGCAAGTTACTGTTAGTGACAGTCAGTTTAAAAGCAAATGTATTCAATCAATTATGTTCAAGAATGTATGTGTGAGAGTCGTATTGCATATAGTGCAAGCATTGACTAGTGCTTTATGTTTTATTTTAGCTTGTGCCAGGGAAGTAAAGATCCGAGAGAGCTGACTGGAAAAGAGTTTAGTGAGTTCTTATGACATGTGTTTATTGGTTTAAGAAAAGGAAAAGCAGGTGCCCGGCCATGTGCTAAAGAAGCTAGATCTTTTCAGCAGAATTTGGGAAGTGTATGAAATCAGCTTATAGACAATGCATTATTAGTAGGGCTGTAACGATACACAAGCCTCTTGATTCGATCCGGTTCTCGATATTAGCCTCTCGATTCGATTCTTTCGATTCGCTTCCCAAAATATTGAAATGTTATCTTATTTTTTATATTTTCATTATTTTGCAATAAGAAATTATTAGAAATTGCCAATGAATACTAAATGGTGAATAGACTAGAGAGTCTAGAGAGTATATATCATAGAGATGTATACTATTTATACATCTCTATGGTATATATACACTGCACAGTCGCTGAGTAAAATTGGTGAGTAACACTCCACAGTATATAGCGTAGTGTCGCCATCTATTGGAGGAAAAAAGTGGTATCGAAGTGGAATCGAAAATACGGGGGAAAATATCGAGGATCGGATCGAGGGAAGAGAATCGCGATCCGATTCTATTTCGGTGGATCGTTACAGCCCTAATTATTAGCACATTTATGGTTCATTTCTCACCACTGTGTAAACGTGTCACCAAAAGGTGAAGAATTTCTGATTCCCCTTTGGACTGTCATAGTAAGTACGTTTGATAATTAAAACGAGAACATTACGAACAAATTTTTGTACACAAGATTAATATTTTTGACATTTCAGTACCACGTCATGCACGGCAGTGCAACATGCTTGCTTGGGACCCATGCCATACAAATCTGGTGAGTGATTTGTTATTGGGAAATAGCTTTATAAGGTGTAACGATTTCTATTATGCATAATATTTGTAAGTATCTAGTTACCAGGTAGTATCTAATTAAGGTATCAAAACTAAGTCATGTTGGTGCATGGTGGGTGTTTATTGTATGCTGTTCATAGGCATATTGAGATTGTAACCTGTGCTAATATTGCTGTTACAACATATAGTGTTTGGTCTACCAGGAGTGTTACACGAAATGGATCCCTGCAGAACCATATAAGTCGAGTAACCTTGCACTTGTCGTGAGGTGGGACTATTTGTTCTGTAGCTGGCAGCTGGCATGGAGAAATATCGAGCGGATCACTGCATTCTGGTGTGGGATGTACTTGCCACACCCTTCGTGGATCTGATGGCAACTCCGGAGAGACGCGGCCACATACTCGGCAACAGCGCTGATACGTCATCAGGAATGGTTAGCAAGCCCATGCACGAGTTGGGTAGGTGGCAGGCTGGCAGCCAAAATTGCAGTGTCACACATCCGCACTCTGCACACAGAGGGAGGAGAGAGAGAATTATTGAAAATGTTAAAAGTATTTTAGTGATAAAAATCGAGTTTAAGTAACTTTTAAAGTGCAATTAAGGAATGATTGAGAAATTGTTTGAAAGTAACACTGATATAATTTTACTATCTAATATAAATGAGTATTGCCATGAAAATTCACTGCATTGGGCTGTTTGACTTATTGTAGGTCTATCGGAGACAGTGTTGTCTCTGAGTTGGTTCAAACATGATCCTAAAACGCTGCTTGCTGGAATGAACAACAAACATATCCGAATCTTTGATCTGAGAGGTAAATGTGTAATGCAACAAGGTGATGTGATTATGTATTTGATATATGTCGTGATGCACATTAAGGGTTATGGCAAAATGGTTTAATACATAGGTTAAAGAATATTTACAATTGGTTGATACTTTGATATGTTGGTAGTTTATTCAATAATAATAATAATAATAATAATAATAATAATAATAATAATAATAATAATAGTGGTAGTGGTAGTAGTAGTAGTAGAAGTAATAGTAGTAATAATAATAACAATAAGTAATCTCTTAGTTATAAATACAGATCAGTGTGGACGACATGTCAATCAACAGAGCGCAGTTAGAACAACTGCACTGTAGAGCATGTTGGTCAACCTCTAACATTTCTTGCAAAGTGAACAAGCTCAAATGCATGTAATGACGTTCCCTTAGACACAGGGAGAGCGCACATGAATACAACGCTCACCAAGGCTGTCTACGGAGTTGCTGTTGATCCATATAACTGCTTCCGCATTGCTTCCTACGTTGATGTGAGTAAGGAAGTGTTATAGTAATCTTTCCAGAGTGTGTAGTCCTTTCAAGCGTTTTCATATAATGTAGAGAGGGTGAATGTAGAGAGGGTGAATGTAGAGAGGGTGAATGTAGAGAGGGTGAATGTAGAGAGGGTGAATGTAGAGAGGGTGAATGTAGAGAGGGTGAATGTGATCAGCAGCCTTCATTGATTTCGGTGTTTTGAGACGGAAAAGTTGCCAGTAAAGTTTCGAATACGTAGGTCAGTGGGCAAAGGGCAAAGTTTTTTTTCAGACGTTGTCCAATGGATTCTTAGATGAACCTTGTTTGTCAGCAATATCTATTGTTTTGATTACTTTGTTAAATGTAAGATGTAATTAACTGTCTTACACAAAATGAAAAATTCCTTGATGTGCCAATAGGTATAGATTATGTCAATAGATTATAATGAAAGAACATGCCAAATTCAAACTTTTTGTGATATGCAAAGTTAGTATGTCCATAAGTAATAGATTGTTCAAACTTGATAATGAAAACAGGAAATGTCATCGTCTTACTATTTGCAGAAAATGGATTGCCATCGTAAATTTTATTTTTGTTTGTAGACTCAAGTTGCAATATGGGACACTCGGAACTTTGACAAACCAATATCCTTTCTATAGTTATTGTATTACCATCAGTTAGTTAGTATAGGTTTCATGACAAAGTAAAGAAGTGTGAACACTGTAAAACCCCAACTGACGATTAAGATATCTAGTTGTTTGTATATGTTTGTACTTCGTCACATTTTTCAGTACTTTTTATGATCTCGCAAATATCTGGTGTTAGATTTCAAACCTTTCAACCCATTTTGATAGTTTACCAATATATGTTAGATCATTCAATTTATCAGCTTATCTTACATCTTTAAGCTGACAGCACACAGTATTTGAATCTTATTTGCAAATTAGCAAGCTGTCTGTGTTATAAATTCCCTTGACTTGTGTCAGATCACGTTCTTTCATTGACGGAGAATAGGTCAATCACTAGAATGTCTTGGAGTCCTACAAGGTACATAAAAACAATAATAGTCGCTGTAGCAATGTATTAATTCATATGCGTCACTTATCGTATGCTGTTCTCTGGTAAAATGTGACTGTGCAGCATCAAATAGCAGCATGTCTTTACAAAAGGCTACCTGTGAGAAGCAGTCAATTCAATCAGACAATTTGTGGATACAGTGATGAGGCGAAAAAGGAGTTGTTGATCTGGTTGGTTAAATCTCACTGTTACATGTTCAGTCGCTTAGTATAATTGTAGTGATTAGTATAGAATTGACATTAATTTGTATCTCAGCAAGGCAGCACAAGCCTCAATGATTCGATGGTATTTTCTGTAGGATAGTAGATAGATTTCTAATATGCTTTTGCCACTATGTTTTAGGATGGGACTTCTTGCCACCATTTCCAAAGACAGCTCGGTAGTTAAACTCTATGACATACAGCATGTTACGATAGGTAAGTGTGCAGAAAAAGTTTATACCAGGTTTCTGTGAGAATGTCAAAGGCTACTTAGGAATTAGCAAGGTGTTCATCTTTGATGATTGTTCTTTATGACACTACTTATCCAATTTGTGTCGGTCGCACATGCTTATAAAGCAGTGTATATTGCATAGTGTATTTCCGTACAGTGTTTCCCCTGAATTGACAGAAGCGAGGTGGGCCGCCTCGCTCATATTCTCAGCCGCCACACAGAAATTTGTCCAAAACACCTCTCGACGGGATATGGCGTAACCACTTGGTTAAATTGTGAATATAACATTTTAACAGGAGTCTGTCAATCCTGATTTTAATGTAAACGGGGTGGCGGTAACCAGAGTTATATGAAAAAGCGCAGATTAAAATTTAACATATTAAAACGACATATTTCATCAGCGCGTATAGTTTTTTTTACAAGCGCGATATCATCGTCGATGATATGTGCTTTCCAGTTTTACATTGTCTGCTTATATTGACCGCCATCGTATGAAAAATAACTCGTTCGACTCGTCTCTACATCGAGGCTAGCTCAGTTCCATACTAAAAACAAAAACAAATTAAAGGACACGTGCTTCCTGCTCTTGCAAGATTACTGTGTAGATGGGTACTAACGATATAAAGTTTTCGCATAATTAGAAGTTCGTGTCGGTTTCTCTATATATCGTGCAGTTAAGTTGTAGCCTTCAACTCATTAATGTGTCAAGCTTAACTCATGTGTCGAGCTTCAACTCATTAATGTGTCATAGTCTTGTAAGCCAAGCCAGTCTTAGATGCTTCAGAAATATTTTTCATATATATATAATATATATTATGTATATCTTCATTTATTTGTGATATTTGACAGCATTTCTGTGTTACTTGTCACAGGAGATGAGGTAGAACCAGCAATTGTCGAAAGACTTGTACAACGTAAGTAATTGCAAAATAATTGCCAAAGTTTCTTATTCTACCTGGTCAGCTCACATCTTAGCGAATCTTGCATCTGCTCAATCCTCTATATGAAATCATTTGTTTTTTGTATCTGCAATATCTGTTGCATTAGTATGTTTGTTCGATCACTTGATTTTGATCATTGAGCATTGCACGTAAGCAATACCATTTTGCCTTGGGTGGCAAGGCCTGGCACAGTTTGTGATCTGGGCAGTTTACCTAACACAGTTCGTCATTTGCTATATTTACAATGTATTAGCATCTACATTGGTCTAGCTACGACCCTGCATGCAGGTCTACATCTCTGCATATCTGACACATCCTGGGTCGAATTGAACTGTCTAACGACTCCGAGATCATTTGCGTTGCAGCATATGGTCAGCACGCAGTTGCATCATTTGCTTGGCATCCAACTCACGAAAACAGGCTGCTATCTGCCACACCATCTGGCACCATTAAAGACACGGTTGTCTTTGAACGGATCACTCTGGTATGCGAAAATTCATCACAGTTTTTTAGAAACGCTTGAGATGTTATTTCGAGCTACTCACATCGAAGTGAGGCATGATTCATTTGCCGTATAACCGCCACACACACGCACCCACCCGGATTTCTAACACCATGCCTTTTTTACGCTTCTGTGTATGCTCAGAATGGGGGAGAGTAGACACTTGCTTCGATTGCAGAATTGGTCGCCATATTCCAACATCGTCTGGGCTTGTGGACGCAAGCTGCTCCAGTATGACGAAGAGTCAGAGGAACATGTCAGAGATGACATTTCGACAAAAATGAAACAACGAGCGCTCAGTGGCTACGGACTAAAGGTAGGCAGTGCAGGTGGTGACCTGTTCATGATGCAAGGAACTCTTCTAGGTGTCTACTATTGTAGGGTGTGTAATATAATTGGCATTAGAATGAAGTTTAATACTATTAGTGGGTGGGTAGTTAATATAGTATAGGCAATTCAGTAGAATATACTGTGGATAATAATAATTGTAATCATGTAATCAGAATAATCATCGGGAAACTGGTTCAGATTAACTTATGTATGGGAAGTTCATTTACTGTCAGAAAACTGGTAGTGTGTTACCGCAGTTCTGAATCATTGTTTCCATTGATTAAAAAAATAACTTTCAATTTTCAATTTTTAGGTAGAGCAGGTGTGGGAGAATGGCCTTCTGTGTGGTGATGATGCTGGATTGAAAAATGTGTGGTCATGGCTTGATCATATCCATTTCTTGCTAAACTATGAAACTATTTCGTGCACCATTTAATTGCTCGGCATAGTAATTGTACTAGAAAAGTATTTTCACATACAATATAAGAGAAAATATTGAAAACATTTCTTAGAAAAACACATCTTTGTAAAGTAACGTGATTAACTATTTGTTTAGAAAAACAATACGAACGCACATGATCAATGTAACCATTGAGTTTTTAACAAAATCGAGGTCGGACAAGGTTTAGCATTAATCTGGACTTAACCAGATCATTTCACGATAAGACAATATCCTTGATGGCATGACACTAGCCAAGAGTCTGAAGGAGGAGGGCAAGCAGAGGATAAACTCGCGCTTTGCGAACTACAAGCTGCAGGGCGTCCTGGCGATCCTGAAGGGAGAGCTGATGCCATCAGGCTTTTCCACCAAGAGCGATGTGCACATCGTACCCTGGGTGGGAATGGAGCGGCAGCAGAGTATTCAGCAGCAGGTGTACCGGAACGAGTGCAGGTGAGGCGTTCTTGTAAAGTTAGCGGTCGTCCATAAGCTGCATACAGGGGGCACTGCGTGGTGGTGTCTCCTGGTAGGTGTCTAAGCCTCGAAATTGGTGACTAGCACATCATCTAGAGACGTCTAGTTGCATCGTTTATATTGTAACTCAATAAACTTCAGTAAAATAATTGATACTTGTCTCCGTTTCAGGGAGATGGCATTGATGCTGTGTGGCTGGGGCTTCGAGAAAGACAATTCAACATTCAATGATTTCTTAGACAGGTACGTAGCTGCATTGAACGAAGAACGACTTCTAGAAGAATGGAGTACGTAGCTAGGGATGTTTTTCTGTACATAATGCAATGTAGACACTAAGAATCTAAACTTGCCTCAACTTTCACAGATCGGACCCTTACATTCATAAATACTACAGAGCAGCGGCTAGTCTTGTCACTTTACATTGCTATACGTGATGACTTGACATCAAAATGTATTGTAAATTGTATGTGAATGTGTATTGTGTTTGTATCGTATATATTGTATTACGTGTGTATCGTGTGTGTATTGTATATATCGTTTCACATGTGTATCGTATGTATCTTATTATATATATTGTTACACATGTACTGTATATATCTTACTGTATGTGATTCGTGAATGTGTGTGTATGTATCATATCGTATATGGTGAACGTGTATATTGTATCGCATGTGTGTCGAATCGTACCTGACATCGGCATTTGCCAGGGTTCGTAGCGGGTCTTCCAAAGTCTTATAAGTACTTATTTTGCCAAAAATAAAATAAGGGCTCTTATTAGTACTTATTTTTGGTGAAATCTTAGAAAAGTACTTAATAGTCCTTATTTTTTGCCGAAGGACCATTTTCAACATTTTCTGTGTTGAATTTCGGCGAAACGGCTCTGCAATTGTGTACATATAAATATTATTAGTGTACTTTAATAGTCGGTGATCTATCAGAAATCGCGTAAAAAAGTCTTATTTTGGCCTCCAGAAAGGGTATTATAAGTCCTTATTTCAACATGTGTCTTACTACTATGAACCCTGATTTGCACTGCAGGCTGCAGAGTGATGGCTTCTACGAGAGAGCGGCCGCGATTGCACTTTTTAACCTCAAGATACGCAAGGCCATCGAGATTCTCCACAAGGGCTCGACGCCAAAGGACGGAAAAGGTAACAGAAGAGATTGCGGCACCACCTGATAGGGGCAAAGCATTGAGTGTGACGTTCTAATCGATGAAACTGTGACTCCTAATAGTGACAGCCCATTGGCACACCATGTATACATCAATAATTACATACATTTCATGAACAGTTTCTGTGAACTATGGTAATATTTGACTAATCATCTCTAAATTATGCAGAAATAATTAATTTTTGGCTATTTCAATTCTTCTAAGTAATAAAAAACTTTAAAATTTACAACATTATGCTTATTTGAATGCCTAAATATCGAGGGAGTCATGGCATTCACAAACTTCCACACAACATTTTCATGGCACTGGATTAATGCCCTCTCTCAGTCCAGTATTATATCTTCCTAATCTTCCTCTAACCCTAACATTGATAACCAGCTTGTCTCCCGAGTGCGCAGCGATGACGGATGACAAGCTCATACAGGAAATGTTGTCAAACCCAAAGGCTCCACATAGCACAATGCCGCTGAAGATTCGATGGTTCGAAGTGTTTCTCGTAGTATTTCTCATTCGTGAATAACGTGTAGTAATCTTCCAGACAGCATCTAAGGTCTGCTAACGTAAAAATGCTTGTGTTCGGAAGCTGGTGAAACGGCATCCAATCTTTTAGGAGGCGACATAAACCTGAACGTGGTTGCCATGGCGCTGTCGGGTTTCACGGAGGAGAAGAAGACGCTGTGGAGAGAGATGTGCAGTGAGCTGAGGACTCAGCTGTCTAGCTCCTACTTGCGAGCCATGTTCGCCTTCCTCACGTGCGACGATGCCTACGAAGAGGTCCTGGTGAGTGTGCATGCATGCGTGAGTGTGTAAGCACACGTGCACGTGAGTGCGTGCGTGTGCATTGACACAGGCAGTTAAAATTTTCTGATATTTTGTGCTGTCTGAAATACGTGTCAAAATCTTTGTTTAATAAGTTGCTATCCGAAAAAATTTGGTTTGCAGTGGAGGAGATGGGTAATGTGTTGTGCAATACCCTTTGCTGTGCATTGCCCAACGGTAAACAGCATTGCTTCAAGCTCATCATGGTCGGTTCCGTAGAGGTCTCCCCAATATGGAACTAACTTAGCACAAATTGCACTAAAATCCATATAAATCATTATTTGAAGTGTGTGTGTGATGTGCTTGTCTAGAAAAATTAATAGTTAAAATAAGTAGGGATGGCCAAGTGCCCACACAACCTGACGGTATGTGACTCTTTAATTGCGTCTAGACGGTCGGGATCAGTTAATGGTGGTAACCTCATTGAATTCGCATTGATGACAGCTGTGGTAGCTCTCTAACGACAAAAACACCATCAATAACTTGCTTCATAACACCGTAAGTTATACTGTCTAGGCAAAAATCTGGAACTAAACGTAATGCCGATAAATTTGTTGTGCCTGTCATACATGCCTAGTTAACTAAATGTTATTTGGCAATGTTGCGATGTGTGGTTTTCAATGGGAAGTTCTATTGTTTGCAGAGCGAGACAGGAATTGCCATACAGGATCGCGTGGCCATAGCGGCAATGTACTTATCAGATGCAAAGGTATTAGTATTTTACATTGATTATATTAATCCGATAAATAGTGTTAGTTAGGTTTCCTTCGTTCCTTGAATTAATTGAAATCAGAAAATGAAGTAATTATAATAAATTATAATTATAATTATAATAAATATAAAATATAATATAATTAATATACTAATATTAAAAGAATAACATAATGAATGTAGATGGAGAATTATAGTACTGTAGTATTGAGTTTGTTGATGAATTGTTGCTTTCTGGTAGATGATGGACTATGTAGAGAAATTGACAGTGCAGATGGCAGATGATGGAAACTTGGATGGAATTCTACTGACAGGTAGGTGTGCCTCAACTTATACCATCATAGTAGCACAATTGTGCGGTATTTATCGTACATAGATACATTTATTATTAAATGTCAGTGTTAATAGATGTGCGGCAGTAGTCACAAATGAGCTGCTCTCCTTACGCAGCAGTGAATACTATGGAGGACGCACATCACTGAGTAATTATACTCAAGTCCTTTGTTTAACTAACTGAGTCCCGTGCATGTGCAGGCCTCACCAGGGAGGGCTTGGAGCTGCTGCAGAGATACGTCGATCTGACGAGTGACGTCCAGTCGACGTGCTTCATCATGGCGCACGCGACCCCTGACGTCATGAAGGACGTGAGTGTGAAGCAGTGGGCCGAAAGGTAAACTCTCTGCATGTGAAGCCATCGTTACCAGCCCATGCAAACTTTTACCGCATTACGACTGTGCTGCAGCGGGCCATACCTGATGGTGAACATACAACTGATATAACACTCACTTCATAACAGAAATGCAGCTGATGTGGCACTCACATCATGGCAAAAATACAGCTTATGTAAGCCACACCTCGTAGTGAATATACACCTTGCATGGCCCTTACTTCATAGTAAACACAGTTTATGTGACACTCACATCATAGTGAACGTACAGCTTATATGGCCCTCACCTCATTAAGAACATATATCTTATATAAATCTATCTTATATTATATCTCTTGTATAATATTAATCTAATCTCATGTTATATGATTATACAGTTTATGTGAAATCTAACCTCAGAGAATATACATAGGATTGTGACATCATAAAATGGTCCTTGTATTTATGAAAGCACCGAAATGTTTACGTTATTCATTAAGCATGTTAAGTAACTCCCAGTCTATATAACTTGCTACATCGCTAATGACATCGCGAGTATCAACTTGGCACTTTCATACATCTCTGAGGCTGAAAGAGACCATCTGTATTGCTTTTCACAGTTATCGTGACCTCCTGGATGTGTGGCGACTATGGCATCAAAGGTAGGCACGTGTGCTTTCTGAGTGACAAGGCAAGGCAGCACTTGATATTGACGACACACCATTACTAGGCACATCTCTTGTCCTCATCTCACATGTGTGACGTCTTAGTCATCGAGCTGGTCCTCAAGTTATGTTTAAAGGGGCAAGATCTGGCATTTAGGTGCTCTTTAGCACTCTTAATTTAGCCCAGCTCCCACCGATAATTGACAGGGTCTATGCAGGATGTTTTTATGGTCACCTTACGATGCTTACACTTTTATTATATTTAGCAATACTTCAGCTGCACACACAGGTTAATAGTTTTTTTGCATGTGTAGTGCGTTGGACATTCCAGATCATGTCCCTTTTCATTTACTTTTTGAGATACCCCATAGAGGCCTGGACGGCTGAATCCCTTCCCTAACTAAAAGAAACATTCGACTCCGTTTGCATGTCCAACTTGCATCCACATTCTGACATAGACAGCGGACTTGTAAACGAGGCTTCATAGCTAACGAATTTCTCTGCGTAATCGCCGACAAAAGATTGCCCGTCTCCGCATCACCAAATGGCTTCTCGTAATCATCCCCATCGTGTTTTCAAGGGCGCTGTTCGACGTACACTGGTTCCAAGGCGACGCCGGCTCGAGGCCGCCGCAGCAGGTCACCGTCTGCTGTAACTTCTGCAGCAAGTCGATCTCGACGACCGGGCAGGGCAGGGGCCCGCGACGGCCGTACCTACACTACACCGCCAGGACGCCGGCGACAAAGTCGAAAGTACGTTCACGTGTCCTGATTCCTCGAGCCGGTGACCCACGCCCAGCGAGCGATGCTTGGATGGACGCGTTCGGGTGCTCTCGGAAATTCTTGTCACCCGTCGGCGTTACGTGGCGTGATGATGGTTTCTGGGGATAGGCTGTTTGGTTTGTGCGTTTCGCTGGCCATGTCTGTTTTTCGACGACGATCGATAAGATGTAGTTCATCCATAGGGAGTCATTAGAAGGAAGAGTGTCTAACATATTCTAAAAAAAGCATGTGTGCGGTAGTCTGCACATTCAGAGAAGAGATAATAAACCTCGTGCAAAGCTATGCTCATTACAGAATGTCAAAACTAGGGGGGCAAGAGGCGTGGATATAATAATGAACTGAAAAACCAGAGGAGACGAAATACTATATAAATTATGCGGTGTTTAGGGAAACAGGACTAGCAGGATCTTAACAAGCTGAGCATTGGAGAGCAAACGCTGGTGACATGACGTTCATCATTGTTTGGCAGTCACTTTATTTTACTTGAAAAATCGTGTGTACAAGTACAGGATGGTGATGCCAGCATCTTAATCGTAAAAGTGTAGGCGCAGGCTACATCAGGTTCCATTAGTAAATACACATCTCTGATTTTGATCGTAACTAGTGAAGAAACGAACTAGACATTGGGGGATAGAAGGGAAATGAATAGTAGTCAACAATTGTACAACTGCAAGCATAAAAATATCTACGCGTAATTTGTCTCACTTATAGTATACCTAATGCTAATTGCAGAAAATCAACTTGTTTTCCCAGCAATAGGAAACATACATGTGTACTAGTATACGTACCAGTAGTGTACTAGTAGTATGTACTAGTAGTACGTAGTATGTGTACTAGTAAATTGCAATGAAAGAAATTTTTGGATGATAAACTGCAAGATGGAAATTATGTAGGAAAGTGTTGTTGTTAGATGTTTTGCAGCTGAACTGTAATGTGTGCAACTGTAAGGCATTTCAATGATGCAAGTATCGGCTATGCTCGTGTTCCAGGTGACGTGTTGCCCAGGTTGCAGGAAACCACTGCCACGCTGCGCTCTATGTCTGATGAATATGGGTACTGCCTCTGGCATGGGTCCAACGAAGACTGAGAAAATCCGTCTACAAGGTGCGAAACCTTGTAACATCTTGTCTGTCATTCTTATGTAGTCAGTAATTGAAACTAGCATGTTGCCTTAGAAGATCGGAAATAAAATGTATATTATTCGGTTTTAGCATGAATGTCAGAGTAATTTTAGTCATTAAAAAGCATACAATTTACCATATTTATGAGTTGTTTATAAATAATATTCTAGTATGAGAAGCCATAAGTATAACACTATAAAGTATGATTATATTTGATATATAATTCTGTATGAATATAAACTAATAAGGGTATGTTAAATTCCCATAACGAGGCCACTGGTTGCAGTTGCATGTGGAATAATGTCTTCTAAACATTGGTTTTTATGATACTGCAGTGATGCCCTCTGGGAAGGATGGCAAACCAATCGCAATTTCCAGCTGGTTCACATGGTGCCAGACCTGTAGACACGGAGGACATGCCAATCACATCACCGAGTGGTTCCGGTAAATTCCTTGCTACATCTTCTCTGTTAGTACACCAACTATATCAAAACTAATATTTAGTAATTACTATCAACAGTTACTTGTGGCTAATTGTTATCAATCTTGTGATTGCATTTGAAACAAACACTAAATCACACAGTATGGCAACTGAATGTGCTCGTAGTCATTCTTAACGTTTCTTATTGTCTTGACTCTCTGCATGGTCCTTTCAACACGCCGCTCCTCGTGACGATGCTACAGCGAGCACGCAGACTGTCCTGTTACCGGGTGCAACTGTCGGTGCATGACACTCGATACCGTCTCTAAGGCTAGTACAGGCAGCAGCTCCACAAGCCAGCACAGGACCGCAGGCCACAGTGACGACGTAGCCAGCCGCGGTGCTGCCCCCGCTCCATGACGACCTCCGTTCCGCCCTGTCATCGACTTAAGATTTCGTTCGCTCGCTGCATGGCCCGAAATAGTAAATGGATTGCTCGAGTCTGTGTAGCAACATCAAGCATGTGTATGCAAGCATCGTGTCGAGTACGGAGTATGCCACCGACCACATTAATCACGTGATTTCATAATTTATTTAATAGCATCCACTTTCGATTAGGAACTGAAGAGCTTCCAAGCATGCACACACATAATCAGTGTTATCGATGTAATATCATGAATTTTCTGAGCTGTTCTTTGTTTTATATCTATAGTTTATTAGCCACTGTTGGCAATTTGTCCCTGCCACTAGTTATGATATAAATGTTGTAAAAACGATAGTTGATTCAGTTAAAATGGGGAGCATATTAATTGATGGAATCCTTTTTCTAGCTCTAGTTTGAGAACAGAACAAGCAGGTAAAGTGTGTTACACATATGTGTTTGCATTAGCTAGAACTTCCTTGTTGACCATGGAAGAATACACACAATTGTGATGTTTGTGATAAATTTTTGGTAAGCTACTATGTACATATAGATAACTGTATCAACTGTTATGATCTGTTCCACTAGTTAAACATACTGGAAATAAAATAATAAAAAGAAAATGCTTTTTTTACGTTATATTTTAGACAATGTACTTGACCAAGTAGACAACAGCAGCAGCAGCAGCAGCAGCAGCAGCAGCAACAACAACAACAGCAGCAGCAGCAGCATTATATTCAGCTTCAATAATCGTGTAAATACAGATGATACGTTCTCACATGCAATCTGCAATTACTGCAATCTGCAATCTGCATTACTTGCAATCTGCAATTACTGATTTATGACATTGTAAGGGTTGGCATACAGTTATTATCATACATATAAATATAGCATCCATATCCTAGAAATACGAGAGTAATAAAACATCTTTATCCTTAAAATTGTCAATGATTGCCTTGGGATACACATATGCTTCACTTACTACATAACATTAGTGTAGGTATCTTCCTACACAGAAATGGTGAAAAGTAAAACCAACTTACTCTTGCCAGGAATGCCTGTATTTAAACATTTGCTTAACGGTCAGTTAACTTGAACTAGATCGAACTGTAAACATCACTTTATTTTATATAACAGCTTTCAAGGTTCCTATATATATCAATACACCAATAGTGCTGCTATGACCCATGTCTGTGAATTACCGTAAAAATAAGCAAGCAACGTTTCAGGTTATCACAGTCAAAACTGCACTTGTGGTGACTGTCTGGAACTGTTTCCCAAAACGCAATCATTTAGCGATCCAAGCAAATATATAGCCCGATGTGGCACTAATAATAGTGCCCACATTGATGGGCAAGTTGAATGGCTGTGTTGTACTGTGCCATGTCTGAAATAAATTGCAGAAAGAAAAACTGTAATACATCAACAACCTCCTAGAAGTTAAATGAGTAACAAATGTGGAGATTTTAAATGTCTATATAACCATTAGAGGTATCATGTATGTGTATAGTTTCATCTACGATTTTTTTTTTAACTGCCAATGAACCAACATTTTCTATGTAGGGGATAGCTGATATAAGGTTCCTACTTATTGGCTATTGCTATTGCATTACTAAATTAATATGTAGTACACAACTATCGTCAATTAAATTGCACTCTGCTCTTGAATTTCGAATCACGATAATATGCTTTCTGCATATTTAAAAACAAAGCTGGGAATACCCTTGCCATTGTAATACTAAATGCCTACAGGTGCCAATAATGACTAGAAGTAGTCGAGGGAGGAGTAAAATCTGGTATTAAACCCACAATATTGTAAAAGCTGCACGTTGACAAGTCATATCGGATTCTATAAAATTTCCTATTACTGTTCTAGTTAATAGTTTACAAGGTTGTGGGCTACCATACCTAAAGGGACAGTAGCCTCTAGGATTTTACTGCATACAACTGTACTTACTGTATAACAAATCGTCTATACCCACATGTATTTGTCACCAGATACTTAATTAATTATTTACACATCAACGCTACGAAATTTGAACGGCGCCATGACACCCGCGACCGTGCTGCCACCCTGAAAAAGTTGCGTATTTGCATTTTTATTTTGCAGGTAAATGACCGAGG